GCCGTGAGCTAGGCTGATGCCACGGCACTCACTCTAGCCTGGGCAACAAAGTGAGACTCTGTCTCAAAAATAAAATAAAATAAAATAATTTGTCCAGGATTTATAAAACCTAATCCAAAGAGATATATGACAGATCTAGTTTTCTTATTCTGACTTATACCTAAATCCAGAAATTTCTAAAGTTTAAGATGAACTGTTATTTGATTTTCTTCTTCTTTTTTTTTAAGATAGAGTCTCTTTGTTGCCTGGGCTACAGTGCTGTGGGGTCAGCCTAGCTGACAGCAACCTCAAACTCCTGGGCTCAAGCAATCCTACTGCCTCAGCCACCCAAGTAGCTGGAACTATAGGCACGCGCCACTGTGCCTGGCTAATTTTTTCTATATATTTTTAGCTGGCCAATTAATTTCTTTCTACTTTTAGTAGATACAGGGTCTTGCTTTTGCTCAGACTGGTTTGGAACTCCTGACCTTGAGCGATCCTCCTGCCTCGGCCTCCCAGAGTGCTAGGATTACAGGCATGAGACACCACGCCAGGCTGATTTTATTCTTAAGCTCTACTCATTTAAAAGTCAAAATGATAACAAAAGACTGTATGTATACCATGAAATCTGCATTTCCTTTTGCTGCTCTAACTACTGTGGCTGAGATAATCAATCCTAAACTGATAAATTATAATTGCTCATCAGTTAAATATAAGTACCCGGCAAAATGGTTTTCTCCTAATTATTTCTAATTAAAATATATTTATCGCATAAATATCACAGCAATAATTTTGGACATTAAGAAGAATAAATTATACACAATCCCAAATATTCTAACAAACCACTATTTTCATCTGTCCATGTTTCCCTCCAGTTCTTCTATTTAATAACCTTTCTATTAACTCAGTAAAGTTAATAGGATCATAGATGCTCAGAAATAATGGCAATATAAAAGATTTGCAAATAAAGTTATTGACTTCAGTCTGGATGTATCTCTTACATTTCTTTTCTGAAACATTCAAACTTTTTTTCTATGATTTCAATGACTAATGGTCTTCTGAGTTTTGCATCTTCTAAAGAAGGACCGGGCTGACCATGCATAGATGCTGCAATCTTGATGTCCTGGAAAACAAAAAATTCCAGAGCCATAACAGCTGATGATATTAATATTAAATAAGATCTTATAAATTCTACAGATTCACATTAAAAAACATTTATAGTAATGTGCCAAGTACTATGCCATCTGCTTTAACATACTTCATGTTAATAATTCAATCAACATTTCCTGAGTTTTTATCTGTTAGACAATGGCTTTTTAATTCACATAATTTAAGAAATTGGTAGGATCATCTCTACTTTTACAGATGAGAAAAGTGAAGTTCTGAACAGCTGATTTACCTTAGGACTTAGTATAGGATAACTTACAGAAATACTGAATTTTTGTATTCCTTGCAGTTTTCCCCTCTCCTTATTCCAAGAAGATAGCCAGGCCCTTTGTAATTCTCCTTGATCTTCTAGCTTTATAGGGTGGTATAAACTCTTTGTGGACACCTATCTCTATCCTCTATTTCTCATGAAAACCTGAGCTCATTTTGGAGATTGTGTTGAGTTTCCTAGAGAGGCAGAACACCGCTGCCTTGGGAGAATAGTGAGAGCGAAAATCAGAAAGAGGGAGACTGCTTCAGGCTGGAACAGAGAGTGGATCATGGCTACATTGGACTATATAAATTATACACACAGTTCCCTATTAGGCCTGAGGGCCTTTGCCAGAAATAGCTATGTGGTATACATGACAACTGCCAACGTCAATGGACCATAAGGGCTTGTCCAATTGGCTAGCAGTATCTTAACAAAAACTAATGAGGTAAAAAACAAAAACAAAACTGCAGTCTCAGACAGGATCCTTTCTGAATGTTCTGCTCTGGGTAGGACACTCAGGTCCCTGCAGAAAAGTCTTAATAACCTTTGTTAAATCTTTTGCCACTCTGGCATTACGGGGATTAATTTCATTTAAATAGGAAATATGGACATTTCTTGTCAATTCAAATTTGTGGTTGCAAATGTTTACTACAATACTAAGGCGAAAGTCTGTTAATGCAAAGTTCAATGCTTTTTCTTCCTCCAGATTAGCCAAACTGATAAAAAAAAAAATCGATGGCCCTTCATAAATTTACACCAATTTCCATTTTAATAATGTTTATGGTCTACAGCAAATACTAAATCTCAAATTTAAGGAGTACTAGGCAAGATAATTAGAGAGGACTAACCATAATGAACACAGAAGATACTTAATAAATCAGTGGTTCTCAGCCTTGAGTGTGCACAACAATCACAGGGAGTGTTTATTTGAAATGCAGTCTCTTGAAGTTCCTCCAGAGATATTTGGAGTTAAAGCAGTAGGATGAGGCCTAGAAATCTGCATTTTAATAACACCAAGTGCTTCTGATACTGTAGTCAATGGACACACAGTTGAACATCACTGCAATACTCATTTGCCCATGAGTACGAGGAGTACAAATGTTTAGATTACATATATTGCCTTTGTAATATATTTTGTTTGTTTAAGGTACCAATTAGTTGCCAGGAGTGTTAAAATCCCCCAATATAATTGTGAATTTGGTTATTACTTCTTCTGGTTCTATCAGTTCTTAAATATTTTGCAAGCATATTATTATGTACATACACATTTAGAATTGTTACAGCTTCCCAGTGAATTAACACTTTATCATTACGAAATGATCTTGTGTATCTCTAGTACTACTTCTTGCCTTTTAAAGTCTACAATCCCTGCAGATGAGTATATCTGTAAAGATATTTGGGTATATAGTTATATAGTTTGACATACAGCAGGTATGGGCTCCTTTGTACCTTCTTACAGTGTTACACAATGAGTAATAATGGAACAGCTTCTTTCACTGCAGTACTACAGAAGTTTTGTCTTTTTCTTTAAAATATCTGAAGAGGATAGGAAAAAACAAACTCTACAAATTACAATTTTTCAGGGACTCGACTTAATATTTTGCCTCTCCCAAATGGAAAATCTAATAGAAGAGATAGTAAAATATATGGGAGATTTTACACCTAACCTATCTAATGTACTAAGAAGATAAATGCCAGTAACATGATGATTAACCAGAAGCCTTAGATAAATTTGTTTCCTCTCATCCAGTTCATCAAAGTCTCCCATTTCCCACAAAGAAAACTTCCAGGCAATACCCTATACTAATTTCCTACCTAGTCTACATCCTAAGCTCTATATAGGGAAAAGAGACACCTAGGATCATGATTACAGGACATTAAATACTGAAACACTGAAAACAGGACAGCAAACATTTACTGAGTGTCTGCCCCAGGCTTTGCAAGGCATTGTCAAAAGAATGGACTGCTTTCATTTTAAGTTTAAAATGTAAATATTTTGTTACAACCAACATTTTTTTCTTTTTATAAATATCTTCCATGGGAGAACACAATCACAGTTCTCCACGACCACAAATTATGCTGTTGAGTTTCCCTCATTTGGAAAAATCACAGGAGTCAGCACATCCAGAGTGCAATGGATAAGCCTTGCCTTGGGAAATCCACCTTTGTGATTATGGTATCTCCCCTACCCTGTTGGTAAGTATAACCAGCATTTTATCTACAAATTAAGTAAGCCAAGGCCACTAGACTGGTCACCACGCTTATACCAGTAACAGTGCACTTAGGGAGGTTTACAGTTTGCAAAGCACTTCATGGTTTTGTGGTGTCTTTATGTGTATTATTTCATCTGACCTTCAGAATTTTATTCAATATTCACTCATCATTTAGGGAGCACCTAGCCTATGCCAAGCTCCGGGTAATCAAGATAAAGCCAATGTGGCTAGGCGTGGTGGCTCACGCCTGTAATCCCAGCACTCTGGGAGGCCGAGGCGGGAGGATGGCTCGAGGTCTGGAGTTCAAAACCAGCCTGAACAAGAGCGAGACCTCATCTCTACTAAAAATAGAAAGAAATTATCTGTACAACTAAAAATATACAGAAAAAATTAGCCAGGCATGGTGGCGCATGCCTGTAGTCCCAGCTACTTGGTAGGCTGAGGGAGGATTGCTTAAGCCCAGGAGTTTGAGGTTGCTCTGAGCTAGGCTGACACCACCGCACTTTAGCCCAGGCAACAAAGCTGTCTCCAAAAAAAAAGACAAAATCAATGTCTTCAGAAACCCACAAACTAGCGGGAGGTGAGAACAAAAAAAAGCAGGAAATGTAAAGCCAGAATGGGGATGTCAGGGGTAGGGGGAAAGCCTATAAGAAAAGCAAAACAATCTAGTCAGAGGAAGTGCCATTTAAACCGATACCTGAAGGAATTTCGCGAGGTCGTTGGGCGGGACAGGAGCAGGGAAATATTCTAAGTTAAAGAAATGGCCTGTGCAAAGGCCCGGAGACAAGAGAAAACAAGGGGCAGATAATAAGGACTTGAGGGTGGGTATAAAAAAAAAAAAAATAAGGACTTGACTTCAGGTCTTCCACTTTCTCTTCCCCTCTTTCTGTAGCAACTGGAAACTTAATCGACTGAGCCTTGCACTGACTTGGGAACTGTACTCCTTTAGCTTTTTAATTCCCTTTTCGTGAATCATCTTAGTAGAGTCCGGTTGCAGAAATCATGCCCCGTACCAACTCGGGTTTTCACCTACCTTGTGCACTTCTCCAGCTCCCAGCGGCACCACACCTGCATCCCTCAGGTCAGCCCCAACATCACGCCCGACCGCCGCCATCTTGCGGCTCACGTGACTTGCAGATGGGCGGGGACCGAGAACGCCGTGGGCGGGAAGTGGTGCGGCCTTACGGCTCACGCCTCCCACGGGCAGCCCAGCCCCGCCCCCACTCAGTCAAACGCCGCGCCCTCCATCCTGGTTGTGATTGGACGTGACGTCCAGACATTACGGCCACTCACTGGCTTCGACAAGGTCCAGACGCCTCTGGGCCCGCCCCCCATCAGCCCATTATTTCCTCCCCCTGCTATTTGTCAGCCTAGCTCCCTCTTCTCCTCTTGTCGTGAGGGGAACATGCCGCGGCCCAAGCGTAGGAATGTTGCTGCGCGCTTGCCTCTCTTCAGGGCAGTTTCGTTACCTGGGGACTAAGCTACTCGTCCCTTTCACTTCTTGAGGGCGCTCATCACTTTGACCGGGCCCTTGTGTTTGTTTTAAGGCTCCGCTTCTCGCGCACCTCCTCCTCAGAGCACCCAGTCGGCCGCCCAGCGCTGTTAGAGCAGCCCTGACTAGCCTCCTCCCCTCGCAGCTGTCTGACTCTCTCTAGTCTTTAGTCCCCTCAGATTTCATTCTTTCGCCCCGCTTGGAAAGCAACTGGAGAAAAATTTGCCCCTTGTGCCCCAAGAAGACCCGCTTGTCAGCCAGTTTTTCAGGGTGGGAGGCACTGCGAGGAGGCCCGGCACTGTTTTGTGCACGTTAAATGCCCAGCAGTATCTCCCAGACCGGGAACCCCCGACCCTCCAGTCTCCATGTCTTAGAGAAGCCAAATTCGAGAGTTATATAATTTCTTGTGCTGCTGTTTCTCCTGCCTGAGGAAACATTTCATCGCGTGGAGGGTGCAGGACATTACAGTGCTCTTCTATAAAAGAACGGGGTGTGGGCAGGGGTGGCCAGCGGTGGCAGAGAAATGTGTCTTTTCTGCAAAAGGAAGGTGGGTAGTTTGAAGAGAGATTGAGAGAAAGGGTGGATGTGAAAGCCAAGCAGCTGCCACTGTCACATTTAGAAAATCGCGGACTATTTGCATAGCTTATGCTTACATGTCTAATACTAACTACTACAGCGTCTCTGAAAACACCTTTGGGGGAAGGTTTGACTTCTCCTCTCGAACAGTCTCAGTGTTTTTCCTCGCTGGATAGGGAGCTGCTTGGATGCGAAGAGATGGCATGATGTGAATGACTCCAGTGTGAAGAAATCCGCTTCGCCAACTCATCCTGCATCAAGTGCCCATTGAGTAGCACTGTCACTTTAATGTCTCCATGCCAAGGGATTGCTTTCCTTTTTTTCAATCCTCTCAGTTAATATATGGGAGGATCAGAATCAGAGGGGCATTAAGGATCAAGCCTGGGGGGCTTGGAGAGCACAGAAGAAAAAAAATGAAAATGACAGCAAGCTGGCTCCTGTCTTACTGAGGGGGTGAGATCTGGAACTTCTGATCCAGTAAATAGAAGGGGGGCGTTCAGTCTGTGTTCTGCCCCAGAAAACTGTTCAAACTCACCCACCTTTTTATAGATCAGAGTCAAAGAGGTTTTTAAAAGTATTTTTTTGGGGGGAGGGGGAATTAAATTTTTCTCTGAAGAACTGAGCATCTTTATCATCATCCAGTTCATCTTTGAATTTGGTCATGTATAAAGTAATGAGACAGCTGTCTAAATTTGCTTTGTGCCTTAATTGAGTTAGTCATTGAACTTCCAAAAATGCTGCTGCCTGAAGAGGAGTTTTAAAAACGTTTTCTATGCTTACAATAATTTTCTCAGCTTTTTAAAACAGTATAAATATTTTATAAAAATTGAAAAACTGGAAAAACTCAAAAGTTATTTTTCTCTAAAGTGTGTGGGCAGTGTAAAAAGTTTAGCTGTGGAAAAATACATCATTATTTTCTTTATCTGAAATAGAAGACTCAGCTTGGATTTCAAAACTGAACAGTGAAGTGGTTTGCAACAGTTACCTGGCTCTTGGCTTCAATCCAGCTGGATCAAAGTGAAACCTGAAAAGAGATCTTGATCCTGTGGCAGTGGAAAGACCTAAGAATGCCAGTCAAGAAGAAAGGTGGGCTATGAGGTTCCTATCTAATATGTTTCTCCTTTTTCTTGGTTCTGGTATTTGTAATTTAAATTGCATTCCATTTGAGAATAGAATTTTGCTTCACTTTGGGGGAAATATTAGTTGTAATAATATCTTTTCAGTGGTACATCATTCAGTAATACTTTGCTAAAGTAAAATGAAGTAGACTATAGTATTTAATTATAGACATTTGCAATTTCATAAATTAGATTGTTTATATATCACCATTTGTAATAAGGATAGAGTACTACAGATTTGGGATTTTCCTTAGCTTGTTTCCTTAGCCTTTTTAAGGTTACTTTTAAACAGTCTTTTAAAAAAGAAACTTGTACAGTAGAGCTCTTCCCCATGGACTTAATATTTATCAAACTAATTATATATTTGTAAAACATAGCAATGTAATTTTGTTTGCACTGAACAAAATTATAGCTTTATAATTTACTTTTGATTAAAAAGACTTTATATTTGGATTTATTCTAGCGTAAATCTTCACTTTAATGATAAAACACAACTTTGGTAACTGTTACGCTTTTCCAGATACATGCATTATCCAATAACATGATTAGCAAGTTCCCCAAATGAGTCAAACAGCTGCTTTTTTCTTCTCAACTTTTATTATTGGAATTAATCAAGATCCAGAGTGTTTCTGAATCATAGTTATAGGTCATTCCTTAGGGATTCAGTTTAGCCCAAATCTACCCTCTGTTAACTTTGTTCCAAAGGATCATAGTGAAACCAGTGTTGGTGTTTTTTGTTTTTGACATGATATGGAAGATGAAATGAACCATAAAGAATTTCTCAAGTGTTTTAAACCAAAATTTATACAAATACTCTTGAACTTTACTGGGCTAATATAGATCTTTCCCCTCTTGTTCTTCATGATATCACTGAGAGAAGTAAACCCTCTATGAGGTTTTAGAGCCATACACTTGTCTATACTTGACATGGTTGGTTTATCTAGAACAAAGATGGTTTTGGGAATGTAGCCAATAAACGATATGGCTCTCTGACTTATTTAACTTCATGTGTTCATGTGTGTTTTTATTCTTTCTACCACTTCTCTAGACAGTTCCTATTGGACTGTCTTATTTTAGACTAATAAGTGAATTAAATACATTTTGTATATGTAAGAGAGAGAGAGAAGAGAAAAAAGAAGGGAGAGGGAGCAAGAATAGGAAGGGAGAGATAAGGAAGAGAGGGAGGAGAGAGAAAGGGATAAAAATATATGTGGGAAGGAGGAGGAGGAAGTGCAATTGGTGGTATAGGTATAACTTAACTAAGCAGGGTGAACTTAAGGTTTCTAAACCCAATATACTGAGTTTCTTTACCTTTAAAGAACTGTTACAGAAATTACTGGTACGTTATTGAAAATTGTAATACTTTATAAGAAAATATTATAGAGGCTTCCTCTCTTTCCTTGTCCTCTTTTTCTTCTACTCCCTCCCTCCTTCTCTTCCTTCCTTAACAATGAATTGATGTAATGGATCAAATATTTAAAGGAATCAACAAGTTCTAATTAGCAAAATAAGTATATATTTGTATGATACTAAAGTATATGCATTATATAATTTTCCTTATAAACTGATCTAGTTAGGAGAAATAATTTTTATTGCTTTTAACTTTCTTAAAATTGATAGTATTAAGATATGTCTTTTTGAATATTATAAACTAGCCAACAGTTATTACATATGCATTATATTTTTAATTGGCTAAGTTTATCTCTACTGTTTATGTAAGAAACATATTTTAAAGTTTAACCTAGATTTATTCTGCATCTTGAATCTTTTTCTTTCTTCATTGTTACATGTGATAGATATGAAAAAAGAGCTAGACTTTATGTAATTTTAAACAATATCCCCATTGAGCCAAGTGTTTATTTATTGTTGAATTTATTAAAATATGAAATTTTCATAACACAGATTTTTATTTGGTGTTTATTTAGTATATTTTTATCAAAGTAGAGAGGAGACTCTCTCACTGATGACATATCACCATGGTGGAAAGTGGGAATGGGTGTGAACTCTCACTAAGCCCATTTCTAGGTGTTATTCTTGTCTGCTCTGGATGAGCTGAAACTGCAGTACTTCAAATCCCCATATTCACTGCTCTTTTGCTTTATTATATTGCTTCCTAACTTTCTCATTCCTGTCTCTTCACATTTTTATACATTTCAGTTTTATCAACAGACAACTCTTCTGTTTCTCTGTTAGAGATTTTTTTCCCTCACCAGTTGTTTTTCATTCAGGATTCTGTCATCTACACTAGTAACTTGATTTGCTCCCAACTGAGCCCTTAGGACAATCTTTGACATATTTTAATTTGTGAAAATTTAGAACCAATCCAAGATAAATTGTATTCTATGATATGATGCAAGATAATAGTGTGTTGTAAGGATCTATTTCAACATCTTCTTGAATTGATCTGATATGATTTCATGTTGGATTACTGTAAGAAATAAAAGTTAATGATAATTATGTCCCTCCCTGTGTTTTCAGTGGAAAGTTGCTGGTAGTTTTATTTATTTATTTTTTTGGGGTGGGGGGGAGAGTTCCTGTCTCCCTGGGTAGAGTGCAGTGGAATCGTCAAGCTCACTGCAATCTCAAACTCATGGGCTGAAGTGATCCTCTGGCCTCAGCCTCCCTGGGGACAATGAGTGCGCACCACCACACCCTGCTAATTTTTTTCTATGTTTGGTAGAGACCACCGAGTCTTGCTCTTGCTCAGGCTGTTCTTGAACTCCTGAGCTCAAATGATCTTTCCACCTCAGCCTCCCAAAGTGCTGGGATTACAGGCATGAGCCACCCCACCTAGCCAGAAAGTTGCTGTTTTGAGGATAAAGTATACTTCAAAATTTTTTAGTACATGGAGTTTTCTTTTTTGAACAGTTTTTTATTCTCCTAATTGTAATTAAATATTTGAAAGAAATTAGTGCCTTTGATACTTTAAGAGAGATGCTGATTTTGTGTTTTTAAAAAATTCTATTATCTTCAGTGCTTCTTTTAAACTGGTATAGAAGTCTGCTTGATGTTTTTAATTTAGATGACACTTTGTTTCCTTTGAATTCATTTTTGCAACTGTTCTCAGACATGTGATGGAGGATGTATAAACAGATTTTACTGCATACTAAAAGTTAAATACTATATTTTTCCTAGTTATATGTTTTGACATTGTATCTTAAAGGGAAGCTGAAGAATGTTGCATAATTAGAATTATGACATATATTGCCATATATCTCATAGGTACCCTTGATACTGAGATTATTGCTTCCTGGGGTCACAGTCTTAATTAATGTCTTTGCTTTTGCTTGGATCTATACTTCAGAAAAGTGACATTTCTGTTTTTCTTTCTTCTCTATGGGAAAAGGACCTTAGAACTCTTCTGTTTATTCTTTCTTCATTTAAAGTTTTCTTCTTACATTATTTATTTCCTGCACTTTGTGGCTTAATTTTTTTTTTTATAGTATCTCACTAATTTACATTTGACTTTCCTTATCTGGACATATACTCTTTCTATCTCTAGCTTTCCTTAAGTTCTTTTTTTTTTTTTTTTTTTTTTTTTTTTTTTTTTTTTGAGACAGAGTCTCACTTTGTTGTCCAGGCTAGAGTGAGTGCCGTGGCGTCAGCCTAGCTCACAGCAACCTCAAACTCCTGGGCTCGAGTGATCCTTCTGCCTCAGCCTCCCGAGTAGCTGGGACTACAGGCATGTGCCACTATGCCCGGCTAATTTTTTATATATATATATATCAGTTGGCCAATTAATTTCTTTCTGTTTATAGTAGAGACAGGGTCTCGCTCTTGCTCAGGCTGGTTTTGAACTCCTGACCTTGAGCAATCCGCCCGCCTCGGCCTCCCAAGAGCTAGGATTACAGGCGTGAGCCACAGCGCCCGGCCTTCCTTAAGTTCTTGAAATAATTTTTTTCAGAATCATTAAAGGGGAAAATATGTACAGGCATACCTCAGATATATTGCGGGTTTGTTCCAGACCACCGCAATGAAGCAAATATCTTAATAATGTAAGTCACGCAAATGTTTTGGTTTCCTAGTGAATATAAAAGTTATGTTTACATTATACTATAGTCTACTAAGTTTGCAACAGCATTATGTCTTAAAAAATGTAAATTCCTTAAAGAATACTTTATTGCTAAAAAATGCTAGTAATCATCTGAACATTCAGCAAATGTAATCTTTTTGCTGGTGAAGAGTCTGGCCTCAGTGTTGATGGCTGCTGACTGATTGGGGTGGTGTTTGCTAAAGATTAGAGTAGCTGAGGAAATTTCTTAAAGTAAGACAACAATGAAGTTTGCCCCATCAATTGACTCTTCCTTTCACAAAAGATTTCTTTGTAGCATGCGATGCTGTTTGATTGCATTATACCCACAGTAGAACCTCTTTCAAAACTGGAGTCAATTCTCTCAAACCCTGCTACTCGTTTATCAGCTAAGTTTATGTAATATTCTAAATCCTTTATTGTCATTTCAACAATGTTCACAGCATCTTCACCAGGAATAGATTCTGTCTCAAGAAGTCATTTTCTTTACTTATCCATAAGAAGCAATTCTTTATCCATTCTAGTTTTATCCTGAGGTTGTAGCAATTCAGTCACATCTATTTCTGATTCTAGTTTTCTTGCTATTTGCACCCCATCTGCAGTTACTTCCTCCATGGAAGACTTGAATCCCTCAATGTCATCTAGAAGGATTGAAATAAACTTCTTCTAAACTCCTGTTAATGTTGATATTTTGACTTCCCACAAATCATGGCCTCTAGAATGGTGAATCCTCTCCAGAAGGTTTTCAATTTACTTTGCTTAGCTCTATCAGAGAAATCACTATATATGGCATGATAACTTTACACAATGTATTTCTTACATAGTAAGACTTGAAGGGTGAAATTCCTCCTTGATCTGCAGCCTGCAGAATGGATGTTGTGTTAGCAGGCATGAAAACAACATTACTCTCTTTGTATATCTTTATCAGAACTCTTGGG